AGGGCCCCTCTCCGCTGGATACCAATGCTTGGCAGAAAAACATAGCTACCTTTGCTTCCAACTGATTAGTCACCTTTTTCATGGAGGTTGTTTCGAGCTCGCAACAGGTCTGGATCATCAGGACTAACCCCAAGGATGCGCATGGCTGTGTAGTTGAGAGCAGTAGAAAATACCTTGGAGGTGTCCTCCACATGCCTGTTGAATAAACAGATCAGTGTTCGGAATGTGCCCAATACATATAAATTCAATTTGTTTTTACTGGCCTGAGGCTGATCAGGACTGTATAAACCAGTTCTCTACCTATAAAAAGTCTGAGGTAAAATGGACATAATTCTGAGGTAAAATGGACCCACAGAACCCATTCTGACTCCAGTGGATTGGAAGTACCAGCTGCCAATGCATTATTGTAATTCCCCAGCTCAAGTCTTAAAGTCTCCTGTTCATACCCCAAATGCCCTACCACATCCTCAATAGTCAATTTATTATTTTATTCTATTATTTGCTAATTTTATATATACTACAGATCTCCAGAAAGATTTGAAAATGAGTTCTAGATAAAAAAACAAGTTCAAAGTCTCTCTGGAAACACAAATGACTAAGGTTATTGTACTTTGGACTCAGCATGAGAAAACCAGACTCCTGCAAAAGACAATAATGCTGAGAAAAATCAAAGGCAGTAGGCAAAGAAGATGAAGTAACATGAAATTGATTGATTCAATAAGGGAAGCCATGGCCTTGATGTTGCAAGAATCACACAAGGCTGTTGACAATCAGATCTTTTTGAGCTCACTAATTTATGGAGCTGTCGTAAGTCAGACCCCAGTTGATGACACATAACAACTAGAGACTGGCAGTTGGCAAATCAGGTCCACAGGTGTTGGGCGGGAGCCCAGGATTCTGCACCATGCCTCCTTCCACAGGCACCCATTGAAAGGAGGAGGCAGGGCAGCGAAGGCCACACGATGCACTGCCTGCGGGAAGAGGTGGAGAGGAGAATCTGGGGCAGACATGTAACACCTTTGGGCTCAATTGGCCAAACTGTGATAAGTGCCCGTTCCTAACAGCATTACACAATATTTGTTTATGCCTGTTTCCGAGGTCCTGACTTGTAAACTTTACTCACAGGCCCCATCCTCCATCTGGGAGCTGTATAGAGCGCAGGTAGCGTACCATCTCCTTCTTGCTCTCCTCTGGTAGTGGGATCTTGGCCACGTGGCATGCAATTAGGAGCCCTGTTTCAAAATGATCAATACTTGGAGCAAGCAGTAAGAAGTCAGTAAAAAGAACAGACACGGGCCTAACATCTAAAGGTGGCTGACTGTGAGGTCATGTATGCTGAAATCGGATGCGCTGACTGGAAAGCCTGGACAGAGCATTTGATTTCAACACAAAAGAAATCAGAAGACTGTTCAGTCCAACTGCTTGCTGTGTAGACTGTGTCCACCAATCTATGTTTGTCCCTTGATCCATTTTTGGTACTCACACAACACAGCATGTGGGTACTATAAATGGATCACAGAGTATATCACAATTAGTGACAAGCGCCAGAAAGGTCCCTGCAGATTACATGGTTAAACCAGACTACAGACCTGGAAGAAGAAACAGATTATAATTGAAACTGATATGGGATATTAGCTTCCTAAAGAGTAGTATTCAATCAGGTTTTCAACACAGAACCCTGTGCAGACACACAGCTATCCCAAAGGAAATTCCCCAGTTCAGTGCCCTCCAACACATTTTTAGTGTTTGCAAGTTTCTGACAACTGAACAGGAACACAGAGCTTGGATCAGGACAGAGTTGCCACTGAAATTTTATTTTTCATTTCCCTGACTTTCCCTGACTACCATTCAAATATAACCACAAGTTTAAAAATGAAGAGATCGTGTTGCATTAATGCATGTCTTAATGAAATGTTCCACTGTATAATTACACAAGCCTCAACTACAAAACTATTTGTCAAAGTAAGAGATTTAATATCAGCTTCTTTCAACACTAACTGCAGCAACATCTGTTTTGCAATTGCACCAAAAATTACACCAAGATACAAACTTTATTTCAAGTAAACACTGAATGCTAACAAATGACATAACATTTTTGTTATTGTTTTCAAGGTACAATCAAAATTATATAACTGTTCTATTTCAAATGGTTTCTCTGAAACCACATTACAAAACTTATAGTTTTGAAACTGTAGTGCTAATCAAGTTAGAAATTACAATACTAGTAATCTGTTTTTAAAGAATAAGGATTTAAGATATAAAACTATCACTTTTAGTTTCCCATCAATTGTTTCCAGAAAGTGGCAACCCTGCAGGAACTAAGGAAGTAAGTGATGGTGAGCACCTCTGCTCATTTGACCCCTTCCCCTAGGTGACCAAGGATCAGACCTAACTCAAAATCTCTGCATGCTGATTTGTTGCACAACAACATCCATACCGCCCACTGCTTCTGCAGTTTCAGAAGAGGTTCTCCAAATCCCTTGGGTAAACATACCTGGCAACAAAAAGAGAGGTCCTCCATAATCTCCAGCCCAGTGGCCATCCTCCGCTTGCAGGCCTGAATAAAACTTCATCCCATTTATTGCTGCCTCCTCTGCTGTAGAGGCATCGGGCAAAGTTGGAAAGAATTTACTCTGCAATACAAGTAAACACGAATGAGGAAAAGACTTAAGTTTTGTGGGAAACATTTACCTTCAGAAATAACAAGGAAAAATACTAAATGAATTAAAATATCCAAGGAGTACTTCTGGTAGTCTTGTCTCAGTCAAGAAATGTATGATGCAGAGGGTCACCCAGTTTATTCCAGGCCCTAGGGACCAAATTCAGTCTTCTTGGCTAAGGGTTATGGCCCTTTCTTATAATGCCACCATTTATTCCCCCACAGCCCAAAATGCTAAAAGGCTGGACTGGTTTTCATGATGCTTAGTTTTCAAGTACTTTAGGGCTGTCATATCCACAGAATCAGTTTGCATGGTTTCACTTATCCGCTGACTGAAAATATTAAATAACCGCCACCCCCACCTAGCCCCAAAATATGTATTCCTAAGGTGTGTTATCAGAACTGGCTGGTAGAGGGAACCAGAGAGTATTGATTGATTGATTGAAAATATTTTTACCCTGCCTTTCTCCTCAAAAGGACCCAAGGCGTCTTGCATTATTAAAAGACAATATTAAAGCTAAAAGCAGTGAGTATAAATGTTGGAGTCACGAAATGAGCAGGCTGATAGTAATTAGGATAGCAAAGGATGGATGTCTGCCAGCAGTGCTCCTGATGGGCGACTAGAAGCAGAGGACATCATACAAGGCGACTGCCCTGCCCCCATGAGGACTGTGTTTTAATATCCTCACAAGCTCACAGATAGTTGACAAGAGTTCAGATAGGACAATGGCTACATAATGCCATTAGGATTGGCCCAAGGAAAGGCAATTAAGCAAGCTCTCTATCACCTATGAGAAAGAAGAAGGATGGGTGGCAGCTCCTCCCAGAGGCAGCTGTGACGTCATCCAGGAGAGTTTGCTCTACTACTGTAGATTCAGCCAACAGCTTAACAACTTTGAGGAGGGGCATTCCCCACACAATGCAAATATTAAAAAAGATCAAATACCATACTAAAAAACGTAAGCAATACCAAAACATATGAAAGCAGTAAGGTACAACAATCCATTTAAAAAGCCCACTCAAACAGCCAGTCACTCAGGGAAAGCTGGCCTGAAGAGAAAGGACAGCAAAGATGGGGCCAGCCTGGCCTCCTGTGGGAGGAAGTTCCAAAATCTTGGAGCTACAGCAGAGAAGGCCCTCTCCTGTGTCCCCACCAAAAGCATGTGTGACGCAGGTGAGACCGACAGAAATGTCCCTTTTGATGATCTTAGCAATTGAGAAGGCTCATAAAGGAAGAGGCAGTCCTTGAGATAGCTTGGGCCCAAGCTGTTTAGGGCTTTATAGGTTAGAACTAACACCTTGAATTCAGTACGAAAATGGATCGGCAGCCAGTGGACCTGGTTATGTGATCTCTGTAACCAGGCCCAGTTACCAATCTGGCTGTTGCATTTTGGAGTTTCCTGGCACTTTCCACATGCCGCCCCACACAGAGCACATTACAGTACTCCAGCCAGGATGTAACTAAGTCATGTGTCACTGTGGCAAGATAATACCTCTGCAAGAACAGGCACAGCTGGTGCACTAGTTTTAATTGTGCAAATGCATTCCTGGGCACGGAAACCTGAGCATCCAGGCCTCAGAGACGAATCCAGGATCACCCTCAAGCTGTGCACCTGCATTTTCAAAGGGAGTGGAACCTCATCCAGCACAGGTTTTATATATAGTGTTTCTATATCTGTACTTCATGGCAGTGTGTGTGAATCAATCCTACATGGATACTCCAGTTTTATTGTACTGGGAAAATCAATCTGCTTGTTTTTAAAACAACGTTTCTTTTTCCATGTGTTTCAGTGAGAAAGAACATGTAAGAACATGTAAGAAACAACGTTAAAATGTATACATGAACAGTCACCCTCTGACACTGTGACAAAAAGAGCCTTAAGCTAAAGTTGGTTCATCCTTTGGGTCCCTCCTCCTTTGCCTCTTGAAAGTGGTTATGAAACCTTCATTCAGCTGGATAACAGCCTAGCGTTTGGAAAACATGAAGGGAACAAAACTCTCTGTACTATTTCAGGAACCCTTCTATTAAGTGTCCATCTTCCCTTGCAAGGTACAGCCACTCTAGTTTGGGAACCTGACCTTCAAATACCCACTTCTGGAGACAAAATACAGTGAATATTTACCAGTGACATACAACCTTCTGATGGATGTTGGGGAACAAAAGGTGCAAAATGAGCTATTTTCACGTAAGTTCTGGGCATGAAATGTGTGTGTATGTGCAAGCTGATACAAAACCTTTTCTAATATAGGAACTAAAAGGAAAATCTCAAATCTACAAGTATCAAGAATTTTAGCAGTGTTATTTCTCAAAGCAGAGATGTGGGCAGCTCTCATACTCCCTCAGTAATGCCCAGTGCAGTTGCACTGGCATGCAGTTGTATATAAAAAAGACTGGAATTTGTTGCACCTTCTATGACTTCAGCAGATTTTCAGGTTTCTTGTAAAAATACAGATTTCTAAAATTATTATGTAACATTTGGAAAGAAAAAACTTCAGATTCCGAGGAGCTCTAGAGTTTCAAAAGTTCCCTGGAAGCTGATAAGGAGTCCCTCCAAGAAACCTTGACAACAATGGACAAGTTCCTGTAAAAGATGGATGATGCTCCCAGCACTACTACTCTTCCTTTTCAACAGAACCAATGCCAGAAAGCACCAAGCATGCTTTAGGGCATATTTTCTAGTCACACTGGGCAACGCTGAAGCTCCATGGACCTTGTCGGGTACCTGAAAACAAATACAGTGTGTAACTATTTGAACATTTCTTAGCACCTTCTGCAATGCACAAGACTTTCTCAGGAGACAAGTTGATATGCTCACAGACAACAGAAAGTCGGAAGCTCATTTCATCAAAGGTACCAGCTCAAAAGAATCAAGCTGTGTTGATGTAATGAGCTTGTTCCCTTTATTGCTTTCAGAATTCAATCACCTACATATCACTTACTGTATCCAGCCCCAGAGAATGAGCCTCTAGTCCAGTTTGTTCCCGACCACAATCCTCATCATCTGCCACATACCACCACTGCTGCCGGCCCTCTTCGTTACTCAAGCGCCAGCGAGTTAAGTTGGTAGCAGGTTCTGTTTTATAGGGCCCTCCTCTTCTCCTTCTCAAACTTCTGGTGATGCAGAAAACAGATGACCTTCAGAGACATGATTTGCTGCATAGTTCAGACTATGTACTGAGTACTAAGTTCAAAAAGTACCCCCAAAGAAAGGATTTCAGCTTCAAACTAAATTGCTATATGTCAGACACCAAACATTTGTGTGACCACATCTTGATTTCCTTTTTATTAATTTGTGTATCCATTATGTGGCTGATACTTCCAAAGAAAAAGTTTTACCTTAACCTAGAATTGAGTTAACCCAGTATACAGTACATATTTGTAGGAGCAGTTAGTGAAGACTGCTGAATTTTTTACCCTTCCATCATTGTTTACCTGCTTTCAAGTGCTTCATTCTGCTGATACACTGAAAATCAATGGTCATCCAGATAACATAGACAAAAGACAGGAACCCTCTATTTATTATTATTTTTAATGTCTCAAGTTAAGCAAAGAAGCATAGTGGGAAGGTTTCAATTCATCCCAGTTTACAACTGTAATTACCTTGAAGTAACTGGTGACACTGCAGGTTAAACCACAGAAGCCTCTGTGCTGCAAGGTCAGAAGACCAGCAATCGTAAGACTGAATCCACGCGACAGAGTGAGCCCCTGTCGCTTGTCCAGCTCCTGCCAACCTAGCAGTTCGAAAGCATGTAAAAATGTGAGTAGATAAATAGGTACCACCTCGGTGGGAAGGTGATGGCGTTCCGTGTCTTGTCGTGCTGGCCATGTGACCACAGAAACGGTCTTTGGACAAAATGCTTGCTCTGTGGCTTGGAGACGGGGATGAACACCACGCCGTAGATTCGGACACGACTGGACTAAATGTCAAGGGGAACCTTTACCTTACCTAATTACCTTGTATCTGTAATTACCTTAAATCTTCCTTGGCTTTCCTGGTTTGTTATCTGGACTTCCACGTATTGTATAGGGGTGCTCTGGAATGTGCCAAGGAAACAATATGCAGAGCTCCCTGCCAACGTTTGCTTCCAACTTCACCAAGAACCCTGAAGAATGGATTGCTATGGCTGGAAGATTTAATGTCCCTCCCTTGAGGCTACTCCTTCTACAACTACTCCCTTGGAAAGCGTCACTGGCTGTTAGTCTTAAAAAGAAGGCTAGTTTTCTTTTGGCTGAATTATTATTGCATATGTGTGTCAAAAAGAAAAGCTGAGACTCGTGTTTTTCTCATAACATTATTAGACACAAAGTCTGAACATGACTGGCAATATGAAGACAATCTTCAAAGTTTTTTTTAAAGCAACAGCTATCGGGACTATGGGATTATCAGAAAATGGGGTTCTTGGATTCTGTAGCAGTATTTTTCTTCACACACTCATGGAACAAATGCTTCTTCCATGATGATAGCTTCTTTACACAAATTGCACCACCAAATTTATTTAGGATGTTTTTTTCACTCATATATAAACTCATGCAAAATAAAGAAACTAAAATGCATAGAACCATTGCGCTAAATCTTGTGTGTCTTGAAAAGTGGCAATTGTATCAGAGAGCATTTTATATGGAGAGCGTCCAAAATCAGGCTGACTGTGTGATACTAAAGTCAACTTCAAGGCTCCTCTAGCGACACTCTTAGAAATTTGTTTCAAGATCAGGAGAACTTCACAAAAGGAGATTCTGAAGCAGCAAGAGAGATTCCGAAGATACACAGCATTACCATACTTCATGTTCACGGATACCTGTCAGCACATCCCAATTCTGAAAGATGAGTAGAGGTAAAAGGCTCTCCCCTCCCTCCCTCCTCCTGGCCCAGCAAAAGAAAGGGAGGGAGGGAGGGAGGGACAGGTCCACTTCTGCAGTACCTGGAGACCCTCGTGAGAGAAGGGAACAAATGCAGCCATAACCTAAACGCAAGGTCACTAATAGGTTTAAAGTGATCTCGCTGCCTTGTGTTTTGCTCAAGTAGGATCTCCTCCTTTCACATAAAAGTAGCCAGACTTTGCGCAGCGCCTCAGCACCCCTTCTTGTATTCGCTGCCTAGATGAAGGCATGTGCGCAGACGAAAGGTGCCCTACGCCATCGGCTAAGGAGGCGGACCAATTCTTTCCCCACTTTTTTTTTCAAAGCAGCAAGAGAAAAACCCGCTCAATAAGAACAATTAACCCAGAAAAATCAGGAGATGGGCTCGGAACCGCTCTGAGAGGGAGCCGAAAAAGACCGTACTTACGTCCCATTCATCCCGACGGCAGACGTTAATCGACACCAGAGCTGAAATCGGGGTGAACCAACAACAACTCCCGGCCGGTGGCAACAACCGCGGACAAGATGCCCGGCGCGCCGCTCCGCAACAGGCGGGGACCTGAAGGCTTCTGCGGGGCAGCGGCAGCCAAGCTATCTCGCTGCGGAAAACTACAATACCCAAGATCCTTCACGAAACATCCGATCTGGAGTGATATAAGCCCACGAACGTCGCAGCCAATCAAACAAAAATAAAAGCGGATGACGTTGTGAGCGCGATACCGCTTCTGCAAGGTGTGTACGGCGCGCTTTGCAGCTAATGAGGGCGGGGGCGTTCCCTGGTTGGGTCGTACCTAAGCAAGAAAACTTCAGCGAGTAAAAAAATTATATGCAGGGCATGGTGAACCCCGACCAGATAGGCGGGATATAAAATAAATAAATAAATAAATGTCCATGTTTTTTTATTAGTTCCATCAAGTAAAACCAAGTAGAAATAATAAGAATTATCGAGCAAGGTTTACTAAAACGTGTAGTATATCGTGGAGGGTCTGGGTAAAACCAACTTTAATGAAATCAAGAATGGAGCCTGATGATTTCATATGATTTTTTTGTGCGTGATCCTAATACCATCTGTGCCCACGCACTGCAAAATATATTTTGTTCGTTTGTTCAGTCGTTTAGTCGTGTCCGACTCTTCGTGACCCCATGGACCAGAGCACGCCAGGCCCTCCTATCTTCCACTGCCTCCCGGAGTTGTGTCAAATTCATGTTGGTTGCTTCGATGACACTGTCCAACCATCTCATCCTCGGTCGTCCCCTTCTCCTCTTGCCTTCATACTTTCCCAACATCAAAGTCTTTTCCAGGGAGTCTTTTCTTCTTATTAGATGGCCAAAGTACTGAGCTTCAGGTTCAGGATCTGTCCTTCCAGTGAGCACTCGGGGTTGATTTCCTTTAGAATTGATAGGTTTGTTCTCTTTGCAGTCCAGGGAACTCTCAAGAGTCTCCTCCAGCACCACAATTCAAAGGCATCAGTTCTTCGGCAGTCTGCTTTCTTTGTGGTCCAGCTCTCACTTCCATACAACACTACAGGAAAAAC